TAATATCCACAAAGTTATATACACAAAGTTATTATTATAGGTAAGTATTTAGGATTTGATTAATATTTCATTTATATATATAGAATCCTATTAATTATGTTAATTTTAATAAGATTAAATATTTCATATTTATTTTACCATACTAAAGTATTATTTCGAGTAATAACACAATATTTTTATAATTAAATTTATTGGAATGCTTTATATTCTTATTATTCTTTTTACTATTTGTTCCTTTATATTTTATCTTGCTTATAACCAAGGGACGTTTTATTTTACAAAAATTTATGCTTCTGGATTTAAAATTATAAATGTATATAATTGAAGAATATACCACCTAAAACTTATTATCAAATTTCTAATTATATAGATAAACAAAAACATTAATAAAATTAATGGGATATTAACATATATATATTATTTAAATTATGTACCAGATAGTATTATTTTAGTATATGAAGATATTTAATTTATAATAAATGAATTTCTTACTAAATATTAAAATATATGGTTATACCTAAAACAATTATATATTATAAAAATATTTATATTTTGTAGGAATATATTTAAGATAAAATATCATAGATATTTGGTAAAAAGGTTATTAATCAATATTTATAATAAGTAAAGATATATAGTAGTAAAATAAGAATAAACATTGTTAACTGATAGTAAATATTTATTATTAATAGTTGATTTGCCTATAATTTTATTTCAACTTTTATTATTATTCATTGTTGCAAAGATTAAATATTTATCTATAATTATAAATTTTGACAATCTTTTACTACTAAAGATAATTTATTAATAATAGATTAATAATTGATAATATAACTATTGGTATATTTAAATAATCTAATAATAAATAATATCGTTTATAATTTATATAAATATTACCACTAATTTAATCCAATTAAACTAACATCATTATTATATAAAAGATTTAGTATTCCGTATATAAACCAATATAATTATATTCTTAGTATGGTATACTTCAATTATTACAACCCATTAATTTAATTAATGTTATGTATATAAATCATTTTTTTTATTCTCTTCTAGTTATATCGTTCAATTTTATACCACTAAATAATTTAGTAAAAAATAGAGAATAAATAGCATATTTGGTATAATAAACCATATATAAATATTATCTTTGCAAATTATTTATATCATGTAAATATATATTAATATAATTTATGTTATATTATATTACTATTATTTTTATTTGGAAATATTTACTAGAGTCCCATACCAAGAAATATAAAATAATACAAAAATTACTATAAGTTTAAAATATGGTCGTAAAAGCCATACTAAATAACCTAAAATAAAACACCAATATTATTCCATTAACCATAACTTTATAGTGGTGATAATTATATTAATATTTCATATTTTTTGTATATTCTAATTTGTATGATATATATCTTAATCCCATTAATAAAATTAATGTTAAATAATAACTGCAAATATCTAAAAGATCTGGGAATGGATTATATTATATATAACTGTAAAATAAAAATTATATTAATGGATATTAGGTAATATATTAATTTTATTATTATTATAAATTGTTGTACTCATTAAAAGATTTGAACTTTTAATCTATGATTTAGAAGATCATTGCTTTATCCAATTAAGCTAAATGAGTAATAGAAAGATAAATAAAAAAGATTATATAATTACTATATAAAATTAAGGTAAAATGAAAAGAGTAAGTAAAAAAAATAAAATAAAATAAGTTAAAGAAAATAAATTAAATTGTATATATAAATAAAAAACAGTAGTTAAAACAATAATTAAAGCGATATCTGGTGTAGATAAAAAAGAAGTTTTAAAATTAAAGATAGTAGAAAATTTATAAATAATATTACTTAAACCATATGGTCCAAAATAATCAAGTAAACCTTTATCACCAAATTTAGAAATAAAATAAGAAAAAGAATAAAAAGGGAAAATTAATTTACTATTATATAAATATTCAAATCAAAATTTATTAGATAAAAAAAAAGTTAAATTACGATAAAAAGATGTAGGATAAAAAGAATTATATAAAAAACATGATGGTAAAAATTTAAAATATATTGATAATATTATACCAATTATAACCATAATAAAAGGTAAATAAAAAGGAATAGAAAATTCAGTTTCCAGTAACGAGTAGTTACTCGGATGAAAAAATAAAGAATGAGATCAAGTATCAATACCAATACCAATAAAAATATCTTTTAAAAAATAACCAATAATAATAGAAAAAATAGATAATATAATTAAAGGTAAAGAAAAATAAAAAGTAGATAAATTAAAAGTAGGATTAGAAATATTAGAAATAATAAAAAAATTAGATCTAGGTAAAGTAGTAAAAGTTAATTGAATTAATTTAAAAGAATAAAATGAAGTTATCATAGCAGTAATAATACCTAATAAATATGATATATTACCAGTATAAAAATATTTACTATAACCAAATTCTAAAATTAAATCTTTAGAATAGTATCCACTTAAATAAGGTATAGCCATTAAACTAAAAGAAGCAATAAGTATACTAATATAAGTTAAAGGTAAAATATTAATTAAACCACCCATTTTTCTCATATCTTGTAAATCATTTAATGTATGAATAATAAAACCAGCTGAAATAAATAATAATGCTTTAAAATAAGCATGATTAATTAAATGAAATAAACTAAGAGAATAATTAGATAAACCAATAGCAACAAACATATAACCTAATTGTGACATAGTAGAATATGCAATAACTCTTTTTAAATCATTTTGTATTAAACCAATAAAACCAGCCATAATAGATGTTATACCACCTAATCATAAAATAAAAACACAAATAGTTGTATGATATTCTAACATAGGTGATAATCTTAATATTAAATAAATACCTGCTGTAACTAATGTAGCAGCATGTAATAAAGCTGATACAGGTGTAGGACCTTCCATAGCACTAGGAAGTCAAGTATGTAAACCAAATTGTGCAGATTTAGCCATAGCAGCAATAATAAAAAAAATTAAAACTAAAGAAATAATTCTATGATTAGATAAAGTATTAAATATATATAAACTATCTAAATCAAATATAGAACCTGTTATAGTAAATAATATTACCATAGCTATTATATAACCTGTATCACCTATTCTATTCATTAATAAAGCTTGTATAGCAGCTTTATTAGCTTCTAAACGAGTATATCAAAAATTAATTAATAAATAAGAAATAATACCAATACCTTCTCAACCAATAAAAATAATTAATAAATTATTACCTGTAATTAAAATAGACATAAAAAAAGTAAATAATGATAAATAAGTAAAAAATCTTTGAATATGTGGATCATTATTCATATAATCTATACTAAATATTTGTACACAACTTGATACAATTAATATAGCTAATCACATAGATACTGTTAAATTATCTATTTTAAATTCATATTTTACATGTAATGAACCTGAATCTAATCAATTTGTTATATCTATTATTAATGGTGAATCATTTATAACAACTTCATAAAATGCTATAATACCTAATATACTTGAAGTTATTATACAAAAATTACTTATTATATAACTTCCTTTAATACCAATTTTTCTTCCTAATAAACCAACAAATAAACCACTTAAAAGTGGTAAAAAAATAATAACTAAATACATAATAAAATTATTTCAAATCCATGATCTAAGATCATGTTTTATATATTATTTAGATATTTATACTTTTATATCTTTTTATTCATATATATATATCCCATAATTGTAAATTATGTTTCTATTTATAATAATTATTCTACTATATATTATGGACAATATATTTAAATTTTATTTAATAATAATATAGTCTCTGAGATATTTTATCTGCATATATATATTTTTATGCATTTTTATTATATTATGGCATAATACCTGCACCTGATATTGATATTGTAGCTAAACCTGCTGATAATAATTTAGCACTAGCTAACATATAAATTAAAATTTTTATATATTATTTTTATTACCTTAAATTTTTATATTCTAATGTAAACTTATTGAATCTTTTATATAAGTACAAGTTAATGTTGTAAATACATATGCTTGTAATATTGCTATAGCTAATTCTAAACCAACTAAAGCCATTACAAATATTATAGGTAATATTAATAAAAGTATTTTAATAAAAAAATATGTATGTATATTAAATATTGATGATACAAATTGAGTTATTATTTTTAATAATGTATGACCTGCTAAACAATTTGCTCCTAATCTTATACCTAAACTTAATGCTTTTGCTATATATGATATTGATTCTATTGCTATTAATAATGGTACTAAACCTAATGGTGTTCCACTAGGTACTAATATAGATAAAAATTTTAATTTATGTAATTCAAAACCTATTATTGTTGTACCTAATATTATTGATATTGATAATGATAATGTTAATGCAAATTGAGCTGTTATAGTAAATCCATATGGAATTAATCCTAATAAATTTCCAATTAATATAAAATTAAATATTGTAAATATTAATGGAAAATATATTAATTGTTTTTTTCCTAATTGATCTATTACTAATTTTAATATTGATTGATATATTGATTCATTTATTATTTGTCATTTATTTGGTAATAATTTTGATTCTCCTCATATAAATAAATTCATTAATAAAATTAATGCTAATACTAATAATATATAACTTGTATAATTTAATATAGGTATCATATTATTCATTATAACTTTTATTTCAAATTGCTCTAATGGATTATATATATACATTTTTATTTTTCTTTTTTTCTATAATTTATTTTTTTTTTTTTTTCTATATTTTTTTTATTAATAATTTATATCTTCCTATCATTTTACTTTTTATATTTGGTAATATATATATTGAATATAATATATAACATATTGATAATATTAAATAAGCTCATGATATTTCTATTAAAAATGTAAATGGTATTAATTGAGGCATATTTTATTTTTTTTTAATTTTGCTTAAATCTTTTTACCAAGTAAATGATTTGAACATTCATCTTAAAGTTTACAAAACTTTGGCTTTACCAATTAAGCTAACTTGATTCTTTTTTTATACAGTTTACGTTATTTATTTTTTTTATGCTGCATATAATAATAAAAATGCCATCATTAAACCAAATAAACCTATTGCTTCTGTTAATGCAAAACCTAATATACTATAAGAAAATAATTGTCCTTTTAATGAAGGATTTCTTGCTGTACCTTGTATTAAAGCTGAAAATACTATTCCTATACCTACCATATATATTTATATAAGCCCCATACATCGCTTATATATATGATAACCAA